TCCTTCAGGCTTTTTTGCAAGACATCTCTGCAGCGAGAAGAATCGGTGCTGGGCGGATGAGGAGGCGGCTGTACCGAGCAGGAGGTGGGAGGTGGTCGCACTTGGGGTCAATAAGCAGCAACTTTACCGACCGGAGTTTACCGACCTGCCGATCGACCCCGCCTGCGCTTCGCATGACATGCGGGACTCGTGTTCATCTCTTGGACAAACGGTTAAACCGCAAACCTTATGACATTTCATGGATAAAATTGGCTGTTTAACTTAGTTTACTTATAACTGAATTTTAAAAGTAAATAAGTCTGTCTTTCCATTTCCTTCCTTTGCTCATCACTGTTGAAATATTCTTGCCACCTATTCCTCTCTTTCTTCACTCCCATAAGGGTAATTAATGCGTAGGTCTTCTGGTTTTTATTTTGAATCGTTCACTTACTTTTTCTGTCAGTGCTAATCATATGTCCATTGTTTTTTGTTTTAGGTCATACCCTTAGATATAACACTGGAACTCCAGAAGCAGATAATGTCGGAGTTAGAAATTCTTTATAAGGTAGGTAAATTTTCTCATTTTGATTATTCTGCCCTATAATCTTCTTGCAGCAAATTTTAAAACAGGCTTCTCTTTTTCCTTTCCTTTTCCAGTGTGACTCATCATATATCATAGGATTTTATGGTGCTTTTTTTGTAGAAAACCGAATTTCACTGTGTACAGAGTTCATGGATGGTGAGTTGTGTATGTAGTGTGCTTTTGAGTGCTAAGCATGTAAATGGGAAAATCATACAAAGATGTACTTTTCCAGAATGGAGCAAAATGCAGTAGTATGGCTTGAAAATGCGAAGTATTAATAACTTTGCAGGTAGTTTTTTTTTTTAAAAAAAAAAGGTTAGTATTGGGATTGTGTTATATTCTCCGTGGTACGCTGTATTTTCCTGAGTGTAACTTCACTTACTTTTATTGAAAATGTAAATAGAAGAGAAATAAATGCTAGCTTAATTTGTGGTTTGATATTTGAGTCTTCCATACAATCTGTCCTCGCTGACAAAACAGCTGTTCCTCACTTTTACTGTTTTGATAGCCAAAACAGATTTTCTTTTAAAGAAATCTATTAACCCAATGTCCTATGTGTTTTCAGTGGAAATCGTCTCTTAATTGCAAGGCAAGGAATTATTTTCTAACACAGCTGTTTAGCAGTGCTGCGCTGAGTTTCTTTTTGGGTGTACTCTTGTTTCTCCCAATTTCTTCAGACCAACAGTATCCCTTTCCCCACGATCTGATGTTCTCATTATGGAGATGCGTTAGTGCTTTGCTTTCAAATCTTGTACTGTGTGGCATTCTTGGAGAAAAGGCAGGAAAACTATACTGATTACGGCAATTTATAATCATTGCTGCCCTCTGTGTGTCAATTTTGAGAGCGTGTCTCATGACAGATGCTGTCCCCTCATGTCTCGTGTGCAAGAACCCTCTTCACAGCGTTCAACTTTTAACATCATGTTCTTACAAGCAATAGTCTATTACTCTCTCCAGGATTTTCTTATGAGCCAGCATTTCATGCCCTATCCAGCTTTTTCACAAAGATTCAGTTAAGCTGGACATAAAGAAGTAAGGATCTCGCAAATAATTTACTGTGGAGGGAAGGCTTTGCGGCAGGAAAAATTTCCAAAGCCAAATGTGTACCGTTAAGCATCGTTGAGTAGCTTCTTCCTTTCTGATAGGGACCACGAATAAAGCCCTTTAGGGTTTTACGGTGCCTTTTGTTTTCTCCCTGTTAAAATGGTCTGTTATTACTGTTATTTCTCTCTTTGTACACTTACTACTTCTGTCCCAGTGATCACTGTGCCCCATTTCCAAGTAGGAGTATTCTCACAGATTTTCCATGTTTGATGAAAAAGTATTACATTTATTCATCGAAGCCCACAAGTTAAATTCTTTGCTGTCCTCATGCTGTGTGACTGTTAGCTGTTTCTCTGTTCTGCCCTTGCAATTGCGCTCAGACTTGGGAGTCTGTGTTAAGCAGTAGTAGAACGCAGTAAGGAAGCATCTGCTCGTGCCAAAACATGCGTCTGCCTACAGTATGCATGCTCCTGCTAATTCAGAGATTTTTTTTAAAATGACGGCCGTAAGCGCTCGCAGATCTGAATTCTTGTTTGAAAATATTTAAGCCTTTAGGGTATGCATCCCTCACGATGTTGCACAACGATGGTGTTTACTGACCATGCACAAATTACTTGGAATTATACTGGAGATGACCTCTGGTCTGCCTCATGTTGTGCACTCCTTCTGGCAGAAAGCAACAGCCATCATTTAAAGGAAGAACAAAATGCAAATAAAGGGACCTTGCCTTTTTTTCCCCCCAGACCTTTAATTTTGATGCATAAGGATGCAGGTAAAGATAATAACAAGTACTTTCTCATCCTGCAGATGAACAGCTTTAACCTTGACAAAGTTTTAGCCCTTTTGACTGTCTTGGGGTGTTTATATTCCCTGAATCCATATCCCATGGCTGTGTTTGCCCAGTTATATCCTGTACCGTCTTACAAAACATAGTTATTTCCTTTTCGAATTGCCTAGGTCGAGGTGGATCTGCCCCTTTTGGGATAGTCATGGCTTAGGGGTACAGGTAGGGAAAAGGTGCACATGTGGTACCATTTTGGTTCTTTCCTTATGACTTCTTTGGATTACAGCATTTCGGAATGAAAGGCTTTTACTTTTAGAAATTGAACGATAAGCAAAGTACAAGGTGTAGTTTTCTTAATTGCTGACTGTGGGCCTAACTCTTTTCCCAGTGGTGTCATCAGTAAAATCCATATACTGCACTGAGAGCAGAGTTAGGTCAGTGCTGAGCACTTCTGAGAGCCTCCAGCCTTGAATAAGACAACGCGCCCTTGCAAGTTCACGCTAATATGCTGTGCCTGTAATTTGCTTGTCTGTTGTGTGGGGGTTTTTTTGCCATTCTACTTGGATGTTTTAAATTTAATTTACATTTAATTTAATTTAAATTAATTGTAAATTATATAAGGATTATATCAGATGCCATATAATGTTAGCACCAGGTTTGGGGGACAAGGGTTAGGATACTTTAGATTTTGAAGTCTACTGTTGCTTTTTGGGATGACTTTGTTATTCCCGAGAAGTTACTCCAAGCCTGATGGTTTTGAGTTCTCCAGTTGTGATACTCTGTCCTGTGAACGGGGGCGTTTCCTAACAGGAGTTTTAATATTAATGCTGCAAGCAAAAATAAGTAATGTGGGTGAAGAGAGACCTGAGTACTGTTTCATGTGTTTGTATTTGGAGTTTGGTAGATTTCTAAGGTCAGTTATTTCCGACACAGTTACATCATTGATGGTGTTCTTATTAATAACCAAGGCCTAGAAAACCCTTGTGACTTCAAATCTAGGGCAGTATTTCATTTTGTATTACCTAAGCACGTTTTGTTTGTCCCTGCAGGGGGTTCTTTGGATGTTTATAGAAAAATTCCAGAACATGTCCTCGGAAGAATAGCAGTAGCTGTAAGTATTTTTTTCATTTTGTCTTTCAGTTTTTGATTGTGCGTGTGACACATCTCTGATTCGAGTGCACACGTGGCCCTTTGGGACACTGAGTCATCGCCAGGCTCCGTGTCCTCCTTGTGTCTGTGTAAAAGGGAGAGTCCTTCCTATCTCGTGCTCTTCCTAACTACCCTGTGTGCACAAGGACACCGGGTTTAAGGAAGCCTTCCTTTTGAATGACCAACACGTGAGTTGCAGGAGGCTCAAGAAATGTAAAAGGGTGTGATAAATTGAATCGGATAAGAAAAAAAACCTGTGAATTTGCTGGAGAGCTCTGTGGCCATGTTTCTTCGTATCAACCCATGTAGGATAGAGCAGTCCTCTTAATAGCCTTTATTTAGCCTTAAAGTTGTTCTGTGCTTTATGGTTCCTTTAAAAAGTGATTCAGAAGCCCTGGCCTGCCCCTTATGGTGATCCCTCGTCTGCTGCTTCTGCTGATTCTCATGTGTCATTTCCATTCTAACTGTCCTCATTCTGCACAAAGTAACTCAATTAGATTTGCTTCCCAGGTTGAAAAATTAAGTCAGTTCCTGTTACCAAAATGCAATGGCAGAACACGTTTTCTGTCTTCCCCTGGGGCAGATGTACTCCTTAAGGCAAACAAGGAGGAGGCTGAAGTTTTTGTTTGGCCTGATAAAGGCTGCCTGGGGACAGGCTGCGCTCTCACCCCTGCGCTGGCACCCTTCACTGTGAGCAGCCGCGGCTGAAGACCTAACAGTCATTTTAGGGCAGACGAGCAGGGAGCTGGTCTGTGAGCTAGGAAGAACTGTCAGTCCCCAGTGTCTCCTCGGTTTGGTAGCCAAGTGTTGACAGTGGGATCCTTAGAGCACCTGGGAGCCCATCGTTCTGTCTCAGCAGCATTCAGCGACTGCGTTGCTAGAAATTCACTAGCTGTGATTGAAAAATCAGACTCCAGAGCAAAAAACCAAAGTTCCATGTTTTGCCACAGCTGAACACAGGGTAAATGACCAATGCCTTAGTGGATCTCACAAGGGAGAGAGATGCTGCCAAACAATTGCTAAATATAAGGAATACTTTGATAACTTAAGCAGTTTAAAGCATAACAAAGTTATTCTATCATGTGCCATTTAATTAAGTGCTGGGTTTTCACATTCATTATACATCAAGCTGACAATTTAAATCCTTTAATCCAACACAGGCAGCTATTTAGTCTCTGTTCATTGTAATTCACAGCTCTACTTTCTCTTAATTTGTGTGGCCTGCCCAGGGTGATGAACATCCTTCTCTGATGCTGTTTCCTCTAAGTAGCTTCAAATCTGCTCATTATATTGCCTAGCCATTTCGTATGGAATTTGAATGCTTTTCACCTTTAGTTCAGAGTAAAAACGTTTCATCTTTTCTTCCCTATGGAGCAATGAATGATAAGTTGCTCAGTGTCCTCGTATTCCTGATTCTGAGTAGTGTGTGTTTAGTGTAATAATACTGGGGTGGACCTTCAAGCATTTCTTCAGATGCTTCTTCCTTCTCCTTTTCCTTAATCTCACTTCCTATTGTGTACTTAATACATCCACACTAACTTACCTTTTCATTTCCTTACTTGCTTTTGTTTCTCCTCTCCCCCATCCTCCCCAGCCCACCTGGCTTGGTATTCTGCGGATGTTCTCTTCCAGTTTTTTCACTTATCCATAATGGTGGTCCTTCAGTCCCGTCTTTTATGTCTTTCTGTATACGGGGGTCTGTTCACCTGCAGGGTCATCTCTTTACAAATGTGTTAGTTAGTGAGCATGACTCCCTGACATGGACGGGGAGCTGATATTTAACTTTTCCTAGTTATTTTATTTGCTGCTTTAGCAACCTGTGCCGTGCCCGCTGCAGTGCAGAGGGTCAGGAAGGAGGTGAACAAAGGAGCCTTCAGAGAAGGAACTCGCCCCTTTCTCCTGCTTCTCCGTAACAGAAGGTGTGCGCTGAGGCTGAACCAGCCCTGGCAGCTTCCTCTGCTCTGGTGCTGATTTTTTGCTCAATTGGCATAGTAGACTTGTTGGAAGGAGGCAGTGAAAGCCTTTGTTTTCCCTATAATTTATCAGCGGCAGCCGGAATGGCTCCTTTAAGTCTTCACAAACGGCTACCCTGCATCTTGGTGCCTGACATTTCAGTAGAGCCCAGCAGCCCGTTTTGTGGGTTGGGGCACCTTTTTTGCCAAGTACTGTACACAGCCACCTTAATCCCCACCCCGAACAGCTTGGGAACATTACCCAAAGCCTGGAGGATTTCTGTTTGTGTACTGAGGAGAAGGAGAATGTCAAACAAAAGCCAGAGCTTGTATACATGGATCTTGTGGACAAAATCTGGAGCTTCCACAGTCTCTTTTCTTTTTCTTTTTTTTTTTTCCAGTCTATATGTTTTCTTTCTACCTTCCTTGCACCATGTACACAGAGTCATTTGTCTTTTATTCTCCTGAGACATGTACAACGCATTAGTCTATTGAAGCTGCTTAATAATATGTGTGACCTCCGCATCAGTTAATTAGAATACCCTTTTGTTATATTTGTAGAAGTTCTTAAGTGAAACCATTTCCAGAGGAAAATGATGCAGGCACATATAGACATTTAGCAGCATCCCAGCATTCCTCTCGCTCTGACTTGATGATTTTCTTGCTTCCTTTCTTGTTATACGCATTCAGTCGTCGTGAAAAGCGGTGGACTGAGAGCCCTTAAAAACGATCGTCCTACTCACAGCAATGAGCACAAAAGGCGCAGGAAATCCCAGCTGGTCTAGAACCAGATCTGTGTCTGCTCAACGCGCCATGGCAAAGGGAGCTCAGTTAAACGCCGAGTTGTACTCAAGGTCATTTCCTTGCACTCTTCAGTCTCCACGGGCTGAACTACCTGAGACATCCCTTTCTTGACAGCCCTCACTTTCTGTAGCCAAAAGGATAGGGCTACGTTGCTATTCATTTCCTTGAAATACCACTGTAAATACTTAACAGATACCTGCAATGCACTGGTTAATGGGCACGAATGGCGCTTGCTTTCTCATACGCTCCCCTGCCAGTCAGACTTTGATTTGGCAGGAACCAGAGGAGAGTTTTGTCTGCTGAGACAATCAAACATTTTCTGATGATAGCAACTGCCACTGTATTTTTTCTGATGTGAACCCTTATCTGCTGAGAATTAAACTGGTTATCACAGCGTCACCGAGAATATATGTAGTCTTTACACCATAGTGTTCCTCTGCATTCTCGTTATCCATTTCCCACTGAAGAAGTGACCACCGTTAATTGTGATGGACAGTCAGCTTTCAAGCTGAAATAGCAGGAGTGTGTTCCCAAGTGCGGTACTCGTCTCGTGGGGTTATTTTTTTGAGGGGTAAAAGATGGAGGGGAGGTTTGAGGCTGAAAGGCAGAATGCTGAAAATAAAGCAAGGCAGTGAAAAGAAATCTTGAGAGGAAGAAAGCATTTACTGGGGCTTGGGGAGCAGCACTGCTTTTTCAGGGGCCAGATAAAATGGTACAAGATAGGTAGTTGTCCGAGACATGGGTCCCCAAGAAACTGGAGGGATCTCTGACCTCATCATAAAATTCATCCTGGTCGCCTATATGAGGCTGTGTCAACAAGAAGGTGAAATCCTTCTTTTTCCCTGTGTTCTCAATTCGTGTGAAGGGCCGGTGTGTTTTTCCGAAGGAAAGGTTTATCTTGGGAACCCCAAAGTGATGTTTTGGTCACTCCTGTTTTCACACTGATGTCTACTTATTTGGGTCTGCCGATGTAAAACCTGTTCTACCTTTGCTTGCCACTTCACACATTTATTTTCACTTCAATTTCTGAAGCAGTGACATTGTGCACTGTATTTTTGAGTGCTAATGTTGATTGAAGTTCTCCCTGAAAGGATGTGCACTTGAACTGTCAAGAGAGTGAGTGATTGACAGCAGGTAGAAGTACTTTTTGTGTCAAGGCTTTGTCAAGTCATTGTTGTAAAACCTACTTTACTGAATACCAATAATTCCTGCTAGATGTTCAATCAAAAGGTACCCTCTTCCAGCACCATTTTAGAATAATATTTAATACTTAAAAGTCCTTCCCTAATAGGCAAATGTAAGGTAGGTGGATAACGGTACTTTACACTAGGTTAGTCCATTTGGGGGACTCCTGTGCGCGTATTTGCAGCCCAGGATAAAGGGAAAAAACTCTTTTCATTTCTTTGTACACTGATGCTGAGAGAATCTGAATGTGAGTTTGTTTAATACTGTGTCTTTTATAACTGCTTATTCAGCACGTTGCGTAATAAAGATGTTTAATAACTCACAGCTGTTGATTTTTTTCCCCACAGGAAATGTTTCCTTTTTTCTATGAATACATGCTTTAAAATAATTTAAATAATTTAAAATATTTTAAATAGTCTAAATATACGTTTAATGATCAAAGTGGCTTACGATTCTCAAAATCACTTTCACCATTGGAGGAAGCCTGAAGTGTTGCACTCCCTTTATTTTTGCATCAATATTTTTTTCTTCTTATGTCAAAAAGCTGTGTGAGTAGAATTCCCCTGTTTTGCTTTTTGAGAGGCTAACGGGAACAAGGCCACACCGCTGGGCATGCAGAATTTGACTAAGGCCTTTTGTTACAGGTAATTACCATCTGAGGCCATGAGATAGTTGGGTACGGAGTGTTAGTTTAACGCGGAGGAATTGCCACCTAGAGTAATTTACTGGGGCTCCCAAATCATTATTTGCTTTACAGAAGAGATTTGGATTCCACTGACATTGGTTTTGGTTACAGAATAAATTCTAAAATTCATTTCTAATCCAATAGGAAGGCTGAAAATTACTATGCTCTCTGCTTTGAGGCTGTATAATATTTTTAGCACTTCTGCTTGATCATTGCAACAGAAATAATTTCATTTCAGTCTATTCGGACAATGAAAAGAATGCTTTGTCTGAAGAACTCATACGACTTTACAAACATCAGAAATGCTTTACTGCTCTGGAGATGCACAAAGAGTATCTCAGGAAAATGAGTAAAATATCATCTCATAGACAGAACCTTTGTAAAAAAGATTTGCTCTATTAGAAAAGCTGGCTGAGACAGCAGAGATGCTTTGGGTAAAAAGTAAGCAGAAGCAGAAATACATTTGTTGAATCTTGTTAGTTCTCTGGGCTTGTAAAAGTTGTAGATCTCGGGGGGAAATGATAACGGTAAAAATGCAAGAAGTGTTGGGGTTTAATTACTTTACAGAAACAAAACCTGCAGAGAGGATAACATGTAATATCCACCCGCTTTCTTAGCGAGTTGACTGAGCGGCTTGTTTAACTTGGGGCTAGTATAAACAGATAGTATATAGAAAATAAACAGAGTAGCACTTTGATCCAGTGATGATGTTGCCAGAGTACGTACGGATTCTGCGTAAGGAAGTTGCATGGGTGGTTGTTTTGAGAAATATAGCCGCATTTGTACCGTGATGTCCTATGAATTTTCATGAAAACGCATCTCATATGTAAGGCATTCCAATGTAGTACTGGAGCAACAGGTTTTAAAATTCAGTTTTAACAGTTTAACTAGTGGAAGGAGCGGATTCTGGAAGAGCAGGCCAAAGTCTGCCCCAATTCTTATCTTTTAGGGGTCTCAATTGTATTTTCTGGGGCTATGGGATACAGTAAGGCTTGTGTTTGGTCTAGGACGTGTAATATGAAGAATAAGACAATTTCTACAGTTCAAGAAGAAAAGTTCAGCATTTGCATTGAGTAAATAAAAGCATGGGAAGTAAAGGAGGAAAAAGTATGGATGCACGGAATGGGGAAAAAAGGGAAAAGGAGGATGAAGTGAAAGAGGCTATTAGAGATTTTGTTATTTTCTGGCCTTTGATTTCACTGGGTTGCTTTTGTTGCAAGAAGACAAATCATTGTGAACTTTGTCTTTCATGACTTTTGACACCCCAACAAAGATAGATGAATTAGAAATACATTGAAATGCCTACAGGGACTCAGTATGAGCTCAGCTAACTTCAACTTACTGATCCTGGGGAGAAGCTTATTCACGTGTTCTTAAAGAACCTGTTGCCATGTAGTCCGCAGCAGGGCTTCAGCTGGGTCCTGCACTCCCTTGGAAGGGATGTTTTGTCTCCACCTTCCGTGGTCCTGGCTCCATTCTTCATTGGCACTTGGGTCTTTAACGACTCGCGCCAGCTGAGATGAGTGGTGTTTCTTACCGGGAATCTTTACTATTTCATGTTTCTTTTAAATTCAGGTTGTGAAAGGCCTTACCTATTTATGGAGTCTAAAGATTCTACATAGAGGTGAGTAACAGATGTTTTCAGTTTTGCAATGAAATACCGTATTATTTTATTTTAACAACACTTTCTACAGAGACAGTGGACCATACTAACATCTGGTTGGATTCCAGTGGAGTAACGCAGAATGAATCTCACTCATTAACCTTGCAGATTTTCTGATAAAATATTTTTACTGCTGTTCTCTTTTATTGCCCACCCTCCTCTCCTGCAAAGAAAAAGACTAAAGAGAGAAATGAGTTTTACACAGATTTAGATGCTTAGGGTTACAAATAGGAGCCCAGTGGAAAAATCAGCAAGAAAATCAGATGTTTGACTAATATTGGAAATAGAATATAAATAATGAATTCTCTGAGGTACTTCAGAAATCTCACATGACAGCCACAAGTGTTGCTAGAGTCTCAGATCTCTAAAATTGTGGCCCACTGTCCTTAACATGGTCGTGACTAATTAAAGAAACTTTAAACCTGCTTGGACATAAGCCATTTTTGGGTTTTGCGGTTTATTCTCCTTCCTGAAGCTAATCTGTATTTTTTAAACTTCTAATTTATTTCTTGCTTTTTCATGTTGTTACATTTTGTTAAAAAATTATGTGTTGTAGAAAGTTAATTCAGATATACTAGAACTTTCAAAAACAACAGCAGTTCTGGAAACAGTGGAAAATGTCATTTAAAGAACAAAGAAGCTTTTCCCCCTACACCACCACCACCACCACCACCCCCCAAAAAAAAAAAGAAGAGAAACTCATTACATTTATAATGTTTCTAAAGTGTCTGAAAGTAACTGCTCTGGTTCCTAATGTTGCTAACAATACTGTTTAATTTAACCCATCTGCTCGCTCAGCCCGTGTGCACAGTTGGAGCGTGCAGTAACCCACATCATTTGCGATTGAAAGAGAACTGTAAAGTAGAGAGACACGTAGAAAATGTTAAGTTGCAAACCAAATAGGTGAGACCATTTCCTCTGGGGTGGTGCCTAGTTTTGGAGCGGCTGAGAAGTAGGTGCAAGGCTCTGGCCAAGCGATGAGCAATGCCTGGGTTTGATGAGGAATGCCTGGGTTCGGTGCCCGGTGTCCTGGTGTGAGCAGTGCAAGGCGTCGGGCACCTCTGGAGAGTCATCCCGAAATCTGCGCACTGAGTGGGGAGAACAAGCTAATAGGAAACACTAATTCCCAGTATGTATTGAGGTCCTGCCCCTCCTCAGAGCTTCGGCTCCAGGCTTGTGTGGAGAGTTTGTAGTGGAGGAGGAGATTGATCCTTCCTTTGTGTAATGGCCCAGCGAGCAGCTGTGCAACAGGACATTGGCATCAATTCCTCCTCGGTCCCACAGCATCTCCTCCCTGGGAGATCGCTCTGATGTGACAGCACGGGCTCTCTCCTGGGTGGGAGAAAGAGAGCTGTGGCCAGAAGAGTGAGGAGAGATCAAGTAAGGACCTGGCTTTGTTAGATTAGAGGGTGAGTGAAATGCTGAGGCCGATGGTATATTTGACCCTGGGCTGTCACTGGATTAAAAGAACAGAAATAACCCAGAGTCCATCACCAACTCGGTGCAGACACAGGTTACCAAGGAGGCTTCATTGCTGATGCTGGTTTAAACATTTCACCGACTAGCCTGAATGTTGCCAGATGCAGAGATTTATCAGCTCCATCCACTCTCAGAAGAGGATGAGCAGTCTAGACGCCAGAGCTGCCACAGTGATTGTCACAATAAATATAAAGGAAAAAGCAGGTGGAACATCTGTGGTTGGGTATCGCTCTGTATAGCCTACGCAGTCTTTGCCATACTTTTGTAACACCAAAAAAAAAAAAAAGCAGATTTGACACTATTTTTTCATCTTGAATTTTTTCATTAATGATTCTGGCCATTTTTTCTGCTGAACATGATTTGGAGAGAGCATTGTGGTCAAGCATGAATACTATAACTGTAACATTTCCTTGTTCTTGTAAATTTAGAACCTGGGTGTGATTTTTGCTTTCTCAGTAAAAAAAAAATCTCCCTTTCTGCATGGGTTTCATTGCCTTGATTGAAGAGCAGCTGTGAGTTTTTGATGAATTATGTATGGTCCTTGCTACAGTGTGAAGAAAAGCAGAGAAACTGATTTTTCATCACACTTCAGATTTTTCTGGCCTTGGTCTGTTGCTGGATTGACCAAGGTGAGAACAGCACTGCAAAATGCCATGGAGGGGATAACTCGCATTCCAGCATCCCGCGGAGTTTCCTCAAGGGATTGTTTTTCAGTATTACTCCATACGCATTTTTAAGATACAGAACACGCGTGTGTACTTCTGTATCTTAAAAATGGGTACAGAGTAACAGAATGCAAGGAAGACGCCTATTTCTCAAAGTAATCTCCTTGAACTGTCTCCTGGTTTTAATGCATCAGAGGTAAATGAACGAAAACTTAACCCTGACTTCCTTGCTGCCACACGTAAAGCAGAGCGTGCAGGAAGTTCGCGTAGGCTAAGAAGTCAAGAATTTCCACCGCGGTGATAATGAAGGTGGAGAAGCAGTCATCGTCAAGAAGCTGTGTACGGCAGTGCGGCAACCGACGGTTTGTGACTAGAGCACGGAATAAAGCAAAGGAAACAAACAATGAGCAAGTCTTTTATTCCACATCAGACATTTCAGCAAATATTACAGCTTAACTTCAAAACAAACCTTGCAACTAATGAGGTGATAGCCATGCATATTAATAAACCCAAAGCTGTAGTCGTAGTCATCACACCCACATCAAACATAAACATAAGATTAACACCTACACCACTTCTTTGGAAGATGTGAGAATGTCCCAATGATAAGTGTGCTCTTTTCCCCAGAGGATAAGAAGTAGAAATGGAAGGGTAATGAGAAATTAACTTAGATTTAAAACAGAATTAGCAATTAAACAAGTCTAATCATGTACAAAGTCAAAGTTTGTATAAAGACAAACCAAAATCTGTTAAGTTCAAGAATAAGTATAGACCGTATGCATTTTATCTGGTATGTTTTTTTCTTCCGTTCACACCTCCTTATTAAAAGCAATGTATGAAATAAATGTTACCCGCTTGTGTTTAATTGTACTGATCTGTATTTGTACGCATGACGGCGTGCCAGGGGCCAGCTGGCTGCATGGTTGAGGACTGTGGTTTCTGACTCGGTTTTAAATTCGTGGTAGAGTTCTGGAAGTGTTTTCTGGGTTGTGATGTGCGAGGTTGTGCAAAGCTGATGATCTGGAGATCTTCCTGGCCTGTCTGTTGGTTGTGTGGCTGGCTGTGGCAGAAGGGAGGCTTTTGCAGCACTCAGGCCATCTCCTTTTTTTTCCTGGGATATTCCCTTAGAAAGATACTCAGATCCTCCTTTCTTTTGACATACGCTAGCTGGAGCGGAGGCGTGCTGGTTGGTAGGGACGGGCGCTCGTGCCATACCGACGATGAGTGTTCCCATCATCTGAGCAGGAACTGTAGTTTGCTGAGGATTTCACCAAAGATGTCCAGAGCAGCACATGTCACTTTTCCCTCTTCTTTTTTAGCTTCGCAATAATTAATCAGAATTAGTGCCACATATAATGAAGCGCAAACAAAAATACTAGGGCATGTGTGCACACATGTACATATGTACCTCCGTGCGTACATATGTACAGCTAAACACATCCTGGGCCACTTACGTTTATTTTAAAAAAAATAATCCCGGCCTCTGCAAAAAGTGTGCTGATGAGGTCGTTACGGCAAGAAAATATTTCCATTCTTCCAGCGGCTTCACTTTGTTAACAGTAATTTTCTGCGAGCTGTCTGCAGCTAAAATTGGGCTTTTGTGTCTTGTCTCCCTTGAACCTGGCGTAGTGTAGATTTATATTTTTAAAAGACGGAAAAAGTCAAGAGACGGCTTTTAAAAATCTGGGGTTTCTTTCCCGCAGTCATTAACCTGTTTGCTTTTCAATAAACCGAGATGACTGAAATGTTTGGTGTTCAAACAGCTGAACCTCTGACAGTTCTGGTAAGTAAGAGCTTGGAGGTCCCATTTATTTGCAGAGAGGTGAAACGGCTTAGGCAGATATATCAGAGGGAGGACTTGTTCATCCTCTGTAATGATGCTTCATAGAAATCATTTGTATTAAGCAAGCACTGGTAATGGGAGCATAATGACCCCTTTTGGCTCTTGTTTAAATTCTTTCACTTCTAAACAGTAATATTAATCACAAGCAGATGGTGCAGAACATTATTTATGCACATTTGTTTTCCAAAACCAAAAAATGTTTAACCCATTAACTGAAGCGGTTTATGAAACAAAAAGGCTAATTTACTGATTGGGTGATTTTTCTCCCCACTTTCAATGTGAGATAGCGGGTGAAGTGACAGTTTTGTCTGGGACTGTCGCTTCCTTTTTTTTTTTTTTTCTGGAGGAAACCAGTGTAGCCATCGGAATGCATAGCAAATATTTGCTTAAATCCCCCGTTTGTGGCGCTGTTTAAATTCTGCTGTGAGGACAGATAGTGTTTGTTCTTAGCAGCGCTTGTTCGGCTGCAGCCTGCTCAGTCGCGTCCCCAGCCCGCGGAGGCTGCCCTTCCCTACCCGCCTGATCGCCCACTGCTTTTTTTTTTTCTCTCTTTTAGGATGTTCTCTTTAGTTTTGTTTGTGGAAGGATTTCGGGATCAAGCAACGCTTAATGAATGACAGATGGGTTTTTAATTATATCGACTTACTGGCGCATCTGACATGGGAGCGGGGAAGGGGAGATGGGCTCTGCGGATCCCCAGTGACACGAGGTGATGGCTGGGTAGAGCCTTGGCTCTTCCTCGGTGGGAGCTGGGCAGCCCTGGTGGGATGGGATAGACGTGGCACGGGGGTTTCCTCTGCTGGCTCGTGTTTAGGGAATGCGGGCTTGCTAGCAGCACTTGGAGACCACCCTGCCTCTTCCTCTGAACTCACGACCTGTACGTGGTTGAGTCCTTATAGAAAGAAAATTTGGCTACGTGCGTGTCTTTCATCTCTTCTCCTTGAGGTCGTAGTGTTTCACTCTTGGAGCTTCCTTCTGCCTCCCCAGCCCATTCACTCTACTCGGAGTGAAAACATTTTTACATTGTTAAAAAATAATGCAGTTGATCCGGTCTTAATCCCACAAACCTATTTCCAGCCATACCGTGCCAAAATGTTTCTCTTGTCCATTTGGTTATTAATTTTTTTTGTTCTTGTCCATTTGGTTATTAATTTTTTTTTGTTATGTCCTTTACAATTAAAAGCAAGATCTTGTTATACTCCAGTTTTCTTTTAAAAGTATTAATACTGTAAACAGCTGGGTTCGTGCTGCACAATGTCACTGTTCTCTGTGTGTGTGATTGCGTCTGCTGTTTAGTTCGTTACAATTCAGCGCAAGCCTGGTAACGAGGGAGCTCTGTGGGCTGCCATATTTTTAGAAAGCAGGTTAAAGGGGATTACTGCACAACTTACTGTTCTTCTTGGCATTCAGGATAGAGCCTGCTGATGTACTCGGCGTGTCTGGTTAGATTTAGCAAAGTCACTCGACGCCGGAGAGGCGGGTGCTGCGGAGCGGGTGGCCGTGGGCACGGATTTGAGTCTCCCTGAAGTTTTAGTTAGAAAACATATTCCTAAAACATCGTTGGGAAGCATAGGGGAGATTTTGTGACTGGGTGGATTGCTCGGTCGTGGTGTGTTGGTCTCATCACCTGAGGCGGGGGAAGAGGGAAGAATCCCTCAAAAATGCAGCGGACGGATTGAATTTCTGAAGACGAAATGGAGATGGCCATACGCAAACTGAGTCCGTCGATGCTGTGAGATGATGGAGACGCTCGTGACTGAGTTTTCTTTTGGCTTTGGGGGGAAATTGCAAGACGTGTCAGCAGTATTGATACCTAACTTAAAACCTACAGATCCACTTTAAGCTATGTAATATACTATTGAATGCGCCCCTTTTTTAAACTGGATTTTAAACTCAAATATAGGAAAGTATTTAATCAGCTTGTTAATTGAGGTTATACATTTCTACATTAGAGAGACAAATTAAGCAAGCTACTGTGGTACCAGAAAACATCTGCTAAACCAAGGCAAACTTAATGATAAACAAAATTAGGTTCTTTTCTCGTTGGGTTTCATCCATCTGCACCCAACTAGTGTTCACTTTTAAAGAAGGCAGAGATACAAGCTATTGCTTTTAATCCATTTTGACAGAAGAAAGCGGTGATTAGGCAAAGCCACTGTGTCTCTAATCTTCCCAAGTTTAAGCCAGGCCGTAACGCGCCCGTTATGCTTTCTGCCTGGCGTTCCTGGAGCAGAAAGATGCTCAGTGTTTCCCGCGCTACAGTCAGGCTGGATGTTCAGTAGTTTATTCACATGTCGATTTTACGGTGTGCAACAGAAGTACACCAACTCCTTTTGGCATCAGAGGGGGTCAGCATTAAGACCATGACGCTGACAATCTGGTTTCAGGATGTACGTTGATGTTTTATTTGCTGGAGCAGGATTAGTGAGCAATTTAAGGCATTGCTGGCTCTAAAAGCTCTGAAACGGTGAGAGCGGAGCGGTTTTATGCCGTAGAAGCTGTGGAGGTGGAAGGCATTAGCTTTGAATAACGGCATGCAGGAGAGCAGAGCTGCGGTGTAGGTGTTCCTGGGGCAGAGGGAGACCCCAGTGTGCTGGTACGTTGGTGTTTTGCCACCATTCCGATATGCAGGTGTTTGTGTGGAATATTTCGTATTTGCAATTTTTGTAGAATATTAAATTCTGCTCTGGTGACCGGGCAGGCATTAAGCGCGGGCTGTTAGAGACGAGGGAGGCAGGGTTAATTGAACACAAAGTCGCAGGGCTGGGATGAACCTTCAGAGGTCAGCGGGCTGTCCCTTGAAACCCCAACAGCCTTCGCTGTTTGCGCCATCGCTTTTGGCTTATTCCTAAACTGCGCAGTGACAGAGTTCGTTCCCTCTCTGTCATTTCCACCCCATGCCGTCATCTACAGATCCCTTTTTTTGCAGACCTGCTCCAGCCTACGCTCCAGGCAGTTGTTTAATCCTATATTTATGCAGTTGATTAAGCTCTGCCTGAGTGTAGTGCTTCTGTTTGTCCCTGTTGAATTTCATCTTATTTTTTCAGTCTGATTTTCCAGTTTGTCAAAACCACTTTGAATTCTAGGTCCTGTCCTCCAGTGCACTTGCTGTCCCTCCTAGATTGGTGTCACCTGCACGTTTAATAACATGCATTATTAGTATTTAAGAGGTACAGATATAACGTCGTCTGTGCTCCTGTTATGAACCAGAGGTTGTATTTGAACCATATCTTTGAAATATTTCCTCTTAAAAATCTACGGCGCTGATATTTGTAACGATCTCTGTATATACGATGCGTATCCAGGATAACATAGATAACACAGTTTTGTTGCCTCGACAGATGTGAAGCCCTCCAATATGTTGGTGAACACGCGAGGCCAGGTGAAGCTGTGCGACTTTGGGGTCAGCACGCAGGTAATTCCCCCTTTAGATATCTGCCCGCTCTCTTTCTGGTGTCAAAATCACCTGGCTGCCAGACAAACAGCCCCACAGCTCGCTCCCCTCTGCTGGGACAGCCCTATTCATTTTTAATCTCTGGGCGACTTTTCTTCATCTGAATATGATTGTTCATTGTTTAATGACAGTAAAAACTGCTGATATTGTAATTACTACTTACGAATAGCAAACTTCATTGATATGCAGCTTTGATATGAAAGCGTTTTGGCCAGACAAAAGGGAGGGCAGAACGAGAGATGTGTCTGGGGAGCCCAACTGGCCCACAATAAAAATTAATATTGGGAGTAACAATAGTGGTGGGCTTTTACAATGTGCAGCACAAATTTTAATTAATTTCCATTTTGGGCCTCCCTGGAGAACTTCTCTGATAGTGACCCATGAGCTTGCTGTGATGTTGATTTGAATTTCAGCACCTTTACTCTCAGCCAAACACGAGGACCAAAGAGAAGGTCAACCTTGTATTATAAGTTGTCAGAGTCTGTTGTCCCTCCAGCGTATTTAGTGCTCGTTGCATTCAAGTGATGAATGTGGCTTTATTCACATCTTGAGCCAGCTGACTGAAAAATGAGTGCCTTCAATCCTACTTCAAATTGACTTTTTATATCAGACTAGTTTGGGGTACTAAAGCGATAAGCATCCTGTTTAACAGAATTGTTTAAGGTTATCTGCCATAAACTGTAATGCAGCGCTTGTTTAAATTGGAACTCTCATTCCGAACAAAAGAGAGATTTAATCATTTTTAATGCCTTTGCAGATAAATTTGTTCCCTTTTACATAATTTTTAGTTGATTTATAGGAATGATGATTGTAGGTTAAATGAGGAATAATTGCCCATTTTATTTCCACATTATCTTTATATTGTTCTAACAGACTGTTTTCTCTGATAGCTGGTGAATTCTATAGCCAAGACGTATGTTGGAACAAATGCTTATATGGCGGTAAGTGGATTTATGCAGGAATAACATTTAAATAGAAGTACTCGTTCACAGTCTCGTTCTGTGCAAGGCAGGAGATGGTCTAAATCAATTCTCAAACTTCATCTCTCCTTATCAGGAGACGTGATGACCGCGCTTCGTGCTGATGGGGAAGAGTAATGGTGGAAAAATGATTCTTTCATGTGTTTTTAGTTGCCTTTACTGCATTGTAACAACCGGGAACAAAGAAGAGAGCCACTTCAACGTTAAAAAACCAATTTTCCACTGATAGGCCGCGGCTCTTTGCAGACCACTGACAGTCCGATGCTGTCCGCAGTTTGGGAACTGCTGCTCAGAGCCTTCAGTTTAGCAAAGCATTTAGACACGTGCAGGCGTCTCATGGCCTTCTTCATACTCACCCACCCACGTGGGTGTTTCCCATGTGAAGCTGCCATGTAAATGTGAAGCTAAAAGTATTTGGACTAATAATATTAGGGCATTAAATTGCGTGTTGCGTAATGCTAATATCATACATATTAAGTCATCAGCACGTTTCACTTTTCTATATGAATTTTGGTCAGAGTGCTTGTAATGATGAGACTACTTTTGTCCTTTTTCTGTACGTTAGAACTTAAATTCCCATCATTTTTAGATCAAAGATCAGTGTTGAAGATGTATCGTTTGGAGTAACGCTGCTGCCGGTAGCTGGGATGTGAGGTTTGGGTTTAGCAGTTCTAGCTGACGTGACAACTGGCGTGTGGTGCTCACGTCATTGGGATTAGTATGGTGACGAGAGCGAGTCTGAAAGTAAACTACAAAAGTTAGCATGTATTTTCCATTAGATCAATTTGATTAATTTTAGTTCTTCATTTAACAGATGTGAAAACTTAAATGCTTCAGTTTAGAGTGGTATATTAACTGTTGTCTTTTATTTTTGGCCATTGAAGTTCTTCTAGGAAACTACTTACGTTGTAATATTAATGAGAAAAAAATAAGTGTTCAGCTTGGTTAAAAAAAAAAAGGGTTCAACCGCACAAAGTGGTTGATCCTTATATTTTTCAAACCTCAGAAAAGAGGAGAGAGAAGTCCATGACCTTTAATTGCTTTCAGGTATTTTTTCTTACTTTCTTGTAAGAGGAAAGCAGAGCAGGGTGTCCATTTATTTGCTAAGTGCTTTTCTAGTCAAGGTATACCCATTATGTGGCTTCTGAAACACTCATGTCACCATCCTAGAAAGACTTGGGCTGTCCTGTGCCATCAGAATATTATGTGCAGAAAAATGTTTTTTAAAAAAAAAAAGAAAAGGGGAAAAAAATCTGGTCTTTATGTATTAGCACTTTTGCTAGTAAGCCTGCTGATCTCTATGCCTCCATTTTCTAAAAGAACTGGAATACAGCAAATCAGACAAATAAACAGCTTCAAATTAATCAACTTTTCCAACTCAGCTGTTACTCTTGGAGTGGTCTTAAGCAGGTCTGAGAATTAAATTGTATTATGCTTTTAGTGTACCAATCAAGATTACTTTTTTCTTTCCCAGTTGTACATTAAATAAATTACTTCTTTTTCTTATTGTTTATGGATGAATCTGATGCATTCATCTATTAATTGAAAAAGAGGAGTTTAGCTAAATCATACTTGGTCTGATTTCATGTATTAAAATTATCTTGCTTTCTGTATGAGTCTTTTGTCGTCATCACATTTATAGTCTAGTCATCAAAAAATAATGATGGTCATAAGCTTTGGTTTGTCTGCCTACTTGGCAGCCTGTGAGTGGATTTGAGTGCAAATTAAAAAAAAATTGAGGATTCTGTTTAAGATAAAAAAGCAAAAAAGCTATTTTATCGAGAAATTAAAATTTCCAACAAAAATATTTTTTCTGTAAGATAATTTTAGCACCGCTTCGTATATAAAAAAAATTTGGATGAGCAAAGTACCCAGTTGCAGAAATTTTTAAGAGAAGATGTTTTTGAGCTGTGTATCCTTAGGATGATCTCTGCGTTGCACACTTCACTTTATGCATGCGTTGTTCTTATTTTCATCTCCTTTTCCATCCTCTTTAATTCACGCGATGAGACTTTTTGTTTAAATCTGCAAATGATTTACTTGCCCGAGTCTTCTGCGAATACGTAATTTCTAAACGTAAGTCGATGTTTAAAACTTGAGCTGTTACAAGGGAAGAGGAGACAGTTTCGTATTGCTCAGGTTGAATTTTGCCTCTGGTTTGGTGGCCGAGGAAAGGGCAGGATCTCGTCTGCACTGGAGAGACCTGCGAGTGTTACCGTCGTGCCACAGGCACCGTATCTGCCGCTAACAAAATGTGCTTGGCCGGGACAGCCCGTACCACGTTATGTTATAAAGGCGGGTGTATCTGTCCGTGTGCATTTTTTGGCTGCATATCTGCATCTTTAGGAGCATCTTTGTCAGTCTAAAAGGATGCTTAAAAATTGTAGCCCTTCATGATGCTCTTGCAAACATTTCTAAGATATGCAGACCTAGGCTAACTTCATGAAGGCTTGCCTTAATGAACTTTAAAAATTAATAAATAAGATTTTTGGGTCACTGTTCAGCTCAAAATAAATGACGTTCGGTCAAAAAGATTCTGTTCCAGTTACGTTCTGGGGTGGATTTTTAGGTTACGGCAGTTGCGGGAGGCTTTCCTCAAAGATAACGTGGGCAGCGCTGTGTTTTTTACTTAACATTCACGCTGCGATAAAAGCTCTTGACCTGGGATTAGCAGTGCAGAGTAAACATCCGAAAACACATTGGACTGGCACTAATTTGGGAGTTTGTTTTCTAAAAAAGGTCTCTGGATTATTAAAGACTGAAAATACAGCCAGTGCGTCGTAGGTGGTTGGGCTAGACAGGTGCATTAACAGCACAGTGGGGAGAGAAGTCTCATGGAGCCTTTTATTGTTACATTTCATGATGTACTTGACCTTGGAAATGCTTAAACTGTAGCTTTCAAGTAAAAACTAGCAGTTATATTTTACAGCATTCTATTTCATGAGGCGTTAAACTTGCTATTAATAGTTTTGAGTTAAGTCTTTTTTTTTTTTCCTATAGGTCAAAAATGAAATTAAAAAAATATATAAAATACAATAGCTGGCATGTGACTTCAGTGATTCTGTTGGCTTCGATAACTTTTTTTTTAAAACCAGAGTTACTCCCCAACCCTTTGACTCAACATTAGGAGTCTGTTTTCCTAACGTTCCTCGCTGCCGTGCCGGGGTTTAGCAGTAGCTGTACGTACCGTTGGCCTCTCACAACTTGACCTCCCGCTTCGCTGCGCCTGTGCGAGCCATTGGCTTTTTTGCTGGGTAAAACAGCCCAAACACAAATGCCAAGGCCAACTTTACGAGATGCATAGCAACAAGTGTGAGCATAACCGAGGCCTTTGCTCTTGCAGAGGAGGCAAAAATAAATAAACAAGTCATGTTTGAAGAGTGGAGTTGCTCTCTGCCAGGTTAGCTGGTGAGCTTAGAGCTTCTTTGCGTTTTCGCAGTTGATTTGTTTGCCCCGGTCTAGCTTTTGTGGAGTAAGTACGGATGTTTGTTTGCTAGGCTCAAAAAGATGTTTCTTTCTGTCTCTTTGCAGCCTGAGCGGATTTCAGGAGAACAGTATGGAATTCATTCGGACGTTTGGAGTCTAGGGATTTCCTTCATGGAGGTATGCAAATATCCCTCATTTTCATGTGCACACTGCACGAATCAAATGAAATCTAACATCAAAATATTTTAATATAGTCTTTGTATGCTCTTTTTATATATGCATGCTGTTAATTATTGCTAAATTTGTTGGCTGTATTTAGAATGGGTTTGTTCTCACCATGTTCAATTTGTTAGATATGAAGAGCCTCTGTACAAACCATCGCCATCCCCGGAGGTGTTTGAAAAAAGAGTAGAGGTGGTACTTGGGGACATGGTTTAGAAGTGGTTTTGTCAGAGGAGGTTAATGGTTGGACTCGATGACCTTAAAGGTCCCTTCCAACCTCAACAATTCTATGATTCTGTGAAACCATCTAACAGTCTTCAACCCTCTAATAAAACTCCATATGAGAGTAAGAAGTAGGACCTGGTCCATGGATGCCTCCGAGTCCTTTCCACACCTCTGGGACTGAAGGTGACAGTATTTCTGTATTGCATCTTCACAGGCCAGGATAAGAGTGCGTTATTATTAGGGTTAAAGTGGCATTGTGCGGATTCCAGGACTAAGCTGGTTAATGGCCTCGCAAAATCGTTGCAGAAATATTTGCACCATGGTTTGAGTCTCTCCCTGTGCGATTAAACGAAGTGTTTGAATTTAAGTGTTCATAGGGGCTTTTAGTAAGGTTTCTCGCCAACATAGTTTCAAGCAGGAGAAAGTCTTATTGAAGTGAAGCAGTTCAAAGAGAACATGGTCATAAGTACAGTCTGTTCAGGAGAACCCATGCTTTCTGCAGGTCTGGCCAGGACAAGGTCAGTTTTGATTCAGGAAAAACATTGTTTTTTTCAGCTTCGGGCTCATCAGGTGTCTTAAGAAACATGAATTTCAATGACCTTATAAAAATGCATGATTGTTTATAGGAAAGGTAACCTAGAATGTATAAGTTGAGAAGAAATACCTGTGTTAACGATAGTATCTTGACCAGTAAAATCAGATCTGGCTTGGTATGGTCTGGGAGGAGTGACAGGTAGCTCTGGTCTGGTGGTGGCAGAAGCAGTATGTTCACGAAGCCTTTTTCACACTGGCATGGGCTGGCCACAAACAAGTGAGCCACAGCCAGAAACCGTTGCAGCCTTGACAGCTCGAGCAATAAGCTCCCAGGAGACTTCTTCAACTCAAGGACAGTCCCGTGAAAGAAATTCCCCCCTGCTTGGAGCAGTTGTTTTTTTCCTGTAAGAACATTTCATTCAAACCATCGATGACTGCATCAGCTTTCTCGCACAGCCTGACAAAGGCGTGATACGATAAACCGAAAAATATAGGTGTCCTTCCCTTCTCTTCTGGTATAATATGGTATCATTAAGGTGAAACTGCATATAGCTTTTGGTGAATTGCAGTTGTTTTTCTAAGCAGAAGATTAGATAGACGTTAAGTAGTCTTGGTGCCGGCCCTCGGCATCGAGGCAAATTTTCACTTTTCGTAGCCTGAGAGTTAAGTGAGACTATTGTTATGTTTTCAAGCAATAAATTCCTTGCCAAATCAGTTTTCACCAAAATGAAAATACTTAATGGTGAATCATTGCATTCAGATCTTGTAAATCTTTTCCAGAGTCTGACCGAAGCTAACTGAATTACAATAATGACATACTTGAATGTGTCACAGGGGATGCGGTTCTCTTAATTTGTTTTACTGCAGATTTCAATGGTTTGTGATACTGGAGAGCCCTCACAATTTTGGGAGAGATGCAGAATGTACTCACGCACTCTGTAAATGAATCTAGCCAATAAAAGGCTAAAACAAGATTGTATTGCATTAAGACTTGACTACGGTGGATTTCCTGATTCACGGTGGAATAGAGTGATAGAAATGCAGAAGTCCTATAGAGCAAGGGTTTACTGGTTCCTTTGCTGAATAAAAGATGTATTTCAATGTGCAGCAGTGATAGGATTTACCACGTAGACCAAGCTATTTGGAATTTAGTTTAGGATTACTGGTAGGTAACCTGGCTGGTGGTGAATTTGATTTGAAGGATGAATTTCACATTCTATTAGTCAACATTAGGAAAACTCCTTTAATTTGCATTTGTTCTCTTAAACCTTCTCAACTTTTTTTTTTTTTCTCTCTCACTTTCCACGAATGTCTTCTGGACCAGATGTACAAAAAACAATTTGGTTCTGCGCGCTTTGTTAATTGGTATGTCATCTGGTCCTCCGAGACCTCTCTTCACCGTGATCGCTGTTTTATTGAAGTGGTTTGAGTGATGTGTTAAATGATGAAAGCAAGGACAGTGGCTTAGAAAAATGTCTCAAAAAAGGTGAAGAAGATGCTCAAAGAGCCACACAAGGTCATGGTCATTAAAGTAACACTGTATTGACATGGGGATTGGTAGTGGAGACACCCAGGCTCTTGTTGATGGAACTGTTAAAAAGGGAAGTTAGCATTTGCTGTAGGATTTTAAAATTATCTCTGCTTAATAGTGTAATACTCCGACCGCTGCAACTCCACGCTAGCACAGTTATAGCACGTTAGTTTAAAAGAAGTGGCACGTGGGACCAAGTTTGCAAGGGCTGTTCTGACGTATGGTAATATAAAATAGCAGCTAAGTAAATCTTCTCATTTTCTTTAATATTCTTCTGAGCCTTTAAAGCATCTTGAACTTCTTTGCTGCAAAGAAATGTGTAATGAGAAACCGAACTGGTACTTTTGAAGGTTGGGAAAACTGCCCTAAAAAACTTGCTGGCAGAGTGTGAAAAGTATGCGATGTGGGTACCACGTAAGCCTTGAGAGATGGTGAGCGTTCTTGTTCCTTTTGAAGTAAGAGGTGTCTGAGGGTGCTCAGTCTTCCCTTTGCCAAAAATAAAAATTAAATTAAAAATTAAAAAAAAAAATGCTGCTAGCTATTTTTATTATTATTAGGTCATTTTTTTGGAGTTTGCATTTCTTTCTTCAGGTTTTTTTGAAGTGAATTAAATTTAATACATAATTTGTAAAACTGTTTAAAAGTGTTCCATCACAAATAGTTTGTGTGTTTTCATGAGGTTTTTAGATGGTTTATTGAAGTGCTCTTGGGTTGGCAAAGCAAGTTCAATTTAGACCAATGACATTGCTGTCGCTACACTGAAGACTGTGTCAGCATTTTCATTATAAAAGCTGTTTTTCAAGGGTTTATAACTCAGTCATAAAACAGACTCCAGGCTGAGTGGGCTGAGTCTGAGTGCTGTGTGTGTAACCGATTCAGTCTCCCTCCAGGAGCCCTCTGTGCCCTGCACGGGAGGATAAATCGGATTTCTTCATATTTCTTGTTACTCTCCAACGTGACTCCAATCCTACCGTACGTGGCTGCTACCTGAAAGTGAACTTTAAAGCATCCGAAAATGTGACTAGACACATCTTGTTGTTTTTTGCTAGCGGCACGCTTGGCCAGTGGTGCCTTTTTGTGGCGATGTTTGAGGAGAAGGTATAGCGCTGTCACCTTCAGCTGAGCCGTGTTTCCTGGGGTAAGAGACTGCTGCAAGAGACAAGAACCTGGGTGAGAAGAGCTTTGGTGGGACTCCGTAGGGCTGGTGTGTTCTCAGGTCCTCCTGCTTCCACAGGGGGAGTGCTTCTTGGTTTTCTCCTGGATTTTGCCATCTCGGAGCTGCCTGCTGAGAGGCACTATTGTGCTCTCGAGACAATACTGAAGACCAGAGTCTCCTACATGTCATGGGGAGAGATGGTAGGTGTGGAGAAGGGAGTTTTGGGAATGGAGTAGAGTTGGGATGCGAGTTGTTCGTTGAGGTGAAATATGGGCTTGCAGGTCTTTGCTGGCAGATCCAGGGCTCATTTTATCTACAGATAGAATTGGTATTATATTAAAGTGCAGGAAATGAAAGTGATTCGCTTCTGCCACAAACCGAGTAGGTTTTGGAAGTAGAATATGAGTTCATGTGCTCGGCTAATGATACCTTTTTGCACCTCCTTTTGTATCTCATCCTAGTCTCTACTTTCCACTGTCCTCCGCTGAGAAAAACAGCTACTTTCCTGTGTTTCAGACCTCTTTTTAAATTTACTTTTCTTGCAAAGATAATCAGTGTTCCTCTTCTTCGGGGAAAAGGAGTTTGAATATCAGTTTTAATGTTAGAAACAAGTTCTTAAAACTCCCAAAATGAGAATTTTAAGTCTTCAGTCACAGGAGTTCCCTGTTATCTGTATGTTTGCAAGATCTTTCAAGGGTTGCTAGTAGTTTGTGACATTTGTGTTAAGATGCTGTTTTAAGTCATATTTCAAGCAGTCATATGGTAGATGTTCAGCAGCTGTGCGTGTTCCCACATATAGGAACACCAATATCTATCCAACAGACATGCCTTGCAGTGTGTACTTCAGGCATGAAGTACATACATGTCTTCTGAGTGACATGCCTTGCAGTGTGTACTTCAGGCCCACATACATGTCTTCTGAGCAGGGTTAACACTGCATGCAATGTCAGCAGTATGGAGTCTTAGACTCTTCAGCGCACTTGGGCTGGGAGCACAGATGGAAATGTAAGAAGAGCTCACTCAGACCATGAAGGCAAAGAGGAGGAACATGTTTGAAGAGGATTCTGCAAGAGAAGAGATGATTCTCTTAAAGCACTTCAATCTTTAAGATGTTTGACTGCATAAAACTTACGTAAAGACTCACATATATGTAATGTGGTCAAGGAGAGGAAGTTTCAGAAGAATTCTTTCTAAGTAGTCTAAAATTTGTGATCAGTCATATATCATCAGCTTTGAAGTGATAATGGTTCAAGATGAAGATTGTGAACTGATCTGTAGGAGGTCCTGCAGACCAAAATTTCATCTTCTGCAGGATTTCACTTACCTGTGGACATTATGGTTGGTCTTTCATCATTTTTACACCCTTACCTAAACAATAGCATGGGGGGGTGGGGGGGGAATCTGAGACACGAAGCTTGGTGGTACACCATAGTTTCTACAGTGGCACTGGAGACTTGGTGAAGGTTGGGTAGAAAGGGCAACTGTGAATGTCTCCATGACTGCTGGAAG